TGCCCGCATTTGAGGGTTTCAGGTGCTTCGGGGGGGGGGGGGGGTGGGCGGTTCACATCAAGGAGGCCTGCACTCGGGAAGGCCATGGCTTAACTGCAGACCATGATGTAGAGTTGGGACGACAAACAGTAGAGTGAGAGAGAGACAGAGAGGGAGCATGAGTGAGGACGCAGCACCAGAAAGCCTCGTCACAAAAGCCTGCCTGGCAGGCGATGCAGAAGTCGCCGTTCTCTGGGATGCCATCAAAGGCCACCGTAACCGGCAAAGAAGCATCCTCGGGCTCGGAGCGGAGCATGGAAGACCCTTCTGTCATCCGTTGCGGCTATCCGGCCCCAACTTCACAAGGAACCGAAAGCGCAATGTGCCAGTCGTCAGTATAGACATAGACACGTAGGGCTTCTGTGCCTCCTCTCACTCTCCCTCCCGTACTGCCACCGCCGTGTATGCGGCACCCCCACCCCCGCCACATGGTTGAGGTCCACATGTGGTTGTTTGTCAAGCATGAAGGGCTTCGCAGCCCCAGCACTTTGAGCCCACCTGCCTCCTGCAATTTACAGAGACTAAATAAGCCCGCTGGCGTGCGCGCATGTAGGTGTCTGGACATCATGTGTACGCCTAAGCCCCCCACGCCTACGCACCCCAGACAAGCATCCATGCGGGGCACACGGAGCATTCGTACTACGAGCTGGCCAGAGGCACTTAATCATAGTACATTGTATTACATCATAGTACATTATACTGCATTATAGTACAATATAGTACATTATTATATTACATTTTGGTACGGTATATTACATTATCGTACACTATAGTACACTATGTGACATTATAATACTTTATACTACATCATTTTGCAGTACACTGCAGTACACTGTGTCATATTTTAAATACTGCAGCACAGTATATCACATTATCTTCTAACACAACCCCCCTGGGCTAGAGAAGAAAGCGCCCAATCGTCTTTGCACCTGGCCTTCAGCAGCGCTTGGACCTCTGAACCCTGGCAAGCCCATGACCAGGGTTTAGGGTTTAG